GTAAATGGGGGAGGAGACTCAGTTCTGTAATACATCCCCTCTCGGTTTTTCTCTGTTACACAAGCAGATGGTAGACCCCGTGCTCTTACGTAGTGGTGACTAATTAGTTCAGGTGCAAAAGTCAAACTTGGTCTTGGTTTGCAAGAGTACCCTAAAATACTCTACAAAGGTAAATCATAGTAGATGTTTTTTCTGGACATTAAGTCTATTATGGGATTATATTACATTTTCAATAGTGAATCTTCTGCAATCAGTTTAGCCCAGATGTAGGATTAATCTATGTCTGGAAATTTGGTGAAAAGCAGGGATGCACAATAATATCAAAAATCATAATTATGTTTAATTATCATAACTATTCAGCCAATTTAGGAACAAAATAGTTTTACTGCACTTTATCTTATTTTAAATCAATAGAATACCTCCTTTTAATTGACATTGTACATTATAAGCTAATGTTCCATCAGATGTATAAATCTTTGAACAAATAAGTAACTCCTTAACCACATTAATCTGTTAAATGCTACATACATACAAATTAGAGTGTGTAAACAAACACGCCACTACATACGAAAGGCAATTAAATTATGATCACTTGCTTGTGCCCAAAATACAAGCCTATCAACATGATATGATCATGTTGATAGGCCAATTAGGTAACTTTAGCTATACTCCCCAATATTACCGCGGATTAAGTTTGATTAACACTATCTTACGTAATGTATTGTCAGCAATACATTCAGAGACTTTGTTCCCTTTTATTCATTAAAATTTGGAGCTACTGGTTAACCTTAAGAGCGATCCTGGGTGCTAGAATTGCCTTGATGAGGGTACAAGGGTACTCATGTCCTATGATGCTGCCCCACATTATGGGACTTCTGGACATCAGTCCATGATTCTATTCAGAGAATTGTAGGCCAGAAAGTCCCCTTTTGCATTTGTCTTTTTTTTTGTTAGGGGACCCCTCCACACTGAAAGACACAATCCTTTCTATCTATACTGAATGGGTTCAGACCGCTATCATGTTGGGCAGGAGACTGCTCGTCTAACAGTGGAAATCAGCTCACGCACCATCAATTTCAGACTGGCATAATCTGCTTGCTAAGGGGGCACCATATGAGCGGGTTTCCTTCTCTCTGCTCATCTTATACAGTCCTCCTCTTATAACCTCTCTTATACAAGCAGTTGTGATGAGTGGTTTCCACTCTTAACATCTCATTCTCCAGGTCAACCTTATAATATTGTATAGAATCTGTATAGAATCATAATTAAAAGATATAAGGTACAGTAAAGGTATATTTTATAAAGTTTAACACACAAATAAATCTCTCGACTAGCCACTGTCCCTTTGCATCTTTTCATAAATATAAAGGGACAGTGCACACTTTGTCCAGCAAGCAGATTTTGAAGCACCTAATTTGCAAGTCTATGTTTAGAGATACCTCTCAACAGGGCAGTGTATAAATGGCGCAGTGAGCTCTTTTACTGTTTAATATTCATTGAAAACATAAGCAAGAGAGAGAGGGAGACTCAGAATGAGATGGAGAGGGAGAGAGAGAGGGTGAGGGAGGGAGAGAGAGGGAGGAAATATCACCTCCAGCACTTGCGCCCTTCATGAGACTATCAGGCACAGTCAAGCTCAACTACAAACACTCGCTGCTCTTTTGAACAGAGAGCAGAGAGATAGGCAGATGTTATCTGAATGGTTCAAAGAAACACATGCACACTGCTGTTTGTGGTGTGACCACTGCAGGATGGACTAGTCTGCTTTTAATCTCTGTCAACAGTACCCAGACAGAGATATCTGTAGCACGCTTATCTATTTTACTGCTCTATTTCCTTCGATGTGTTATTTTTTACACTGTTTGAAAACACCAAATGCACCAATAGAAAGGGACCAAATTTACTTGGAATAAAGTATTGCTTAGAATTAAGTAGTTTTTAGTTTTGCACATCGATTTACTTGTGCAATACTCATAATTACATTTCTTTCAGGCAAACAGCAGCGGCATAAACTTTAAATACAAATGATAACAAAGCCCTCTTCAACGAACCACAAGGCCTGCTGACATTCAATGAAAGCAAATGATGTTAGACCCACATACTGTATTCTAGCTAGTATGGTCTTATCACAGGCTGCATGTGAAGTCAGTGGTTAATTAAACTCACCCCTTCAGGGCTGATTCTCCTGATCTTGGAGGAAGCGTAGTGAAAAGCAAGTAATTACTGACACACAGACCCACATCCTTGAGGGTTATTCAAACCCCAGTGCCTCAACTGTGCCTCCAATTCCAGTAGATGTGTGTGCATGTACAGTCTGCATATGAATAACCATTCCAGTCCACTCTTTTGTTCCTATCTATCTTAATTCTCTCTGAAAATGATCAGTTCTGGCCATTAACACTGGATTATATACAAAGCAAGCAATTTCCTCCTTACAATCTACATTACACCTTTCTATATACACTGTATGTCAGTAACTATGTGTAATACGAATGATCTAAACCTTAACCTCAATAAGCAAAAAGAAAAGGTTTGGCCCTTTCAGTTCTAAACCAACAAACCACAAGCTTTTGTTAAAAGCACATTAGAAAGTCAGGATCATTTTGTTCGCCACTGTTGTTAACAGGTTTTCTAACAAAGTGAGAACATTTTCTTCAGAAAATGCATGAAAACAATCACAGAAATAAAGGTCGGCCCTGCGTTCTGCAAACATCACATAGCAGTAAGTGTTTCCATTGCATACAACATTTACCGTATGGTCTCTACTACTGTGGTTAAATGCTGCTGACAGCAACTAAAACGAACGGCTACAAACTTGTAGTGTATATAACTGATTATGTTATGTACATTTGGAACGTCTCAGGGAGATTATCATGGCTGTTTCATCTACAGCACATACATGCAATATTATAACACACGACCTCTGCTGAGATCAAGCCAAGTCAAGTCCATTTTATTCGTATAGCACCTACAGTAGATTTTTTCAAATGTATATAGTAATGTTATTTCTATTCAGACACACATTAGACAGACTTGTATCTGATTTAAATTTGAATCATGGCCATCTGGCAGTGATTCGAATATGCTCTTTTAAAATCTCATCAGCTCTTCCTGCCTTAGACTGCTTCAGACCAGTGTTACAGTCAAAAGCCTGACATTATGAAGCTATACGTGCCCTGACACAATAGCTGCTATCTCACACTAACACCCACTTCATGCTTCTTATAGCAACCAGTCTGGGATTTTCACCACAGATGCCTCCTGAACGACATCCATCATCTTAAAAAACTTGAAAAAAAAATGAAACATTACTCAAAGAAAACACAGAAAAGCTGTCTCAGCTGTCTTCTCAGGTTCACTGATTTCTATCAGTCTGCTTATGATATGCACAGATCAATACGGCTATTATAACATGATACTGAGAAAGTGACAGGGTTATGGCGAAGATGAAATGACTAAAATTGGACCTCACTTTGACATCAGACCGGGAGGGACATCAGACTCACATGCCTTCCAATGAACCATCAACTGTCTTAGTTTTCTCTGGACATTTTTGCTCAAACTGTAATAGCTTTAGTCACCTGTGTGGACTGTGCCAAACCTGTAACTCTTTTTAAGATAACACTTTGACTAAGATGCCTCTCTTAGGTGCACTCCACCCTAAATCTAGCATTAAATATGTTATTTTATTCAATATTCTGTAGTGCAGTATCTTGCCTCTCAACCTCATTAGTTTGACAGAATTCACGTATCTTGTATCTTTGTCCAACACCCAGCATATCACTGCTGTCGGAAGAAAACCTCATATCTCCAAAATGAGAACTTTACAGGAGAAGAAAAAAACATTCTTTACTTTCAATGTAAGTCAAAGGAACCAGATGTTTTTCCAAGAAATTTTGGGCCATTTCTTTTGGTCCATTCTTCATGAAACTTACACAATGTAAAGGGTAACAGGCAATTTCAAATTATGTCAAACCTGAAACAACAAAAATGGATATACAAGGTTTTCTTCTGACAGCAGCAATATATAACAGAACATCACACAATCATTGGGAATCCCTGCCGTGCATCAGAGTTTTTCCTTTGTTAAAAGAATAATCCAGTTAGGAAGTATCCAAGTATCCACCACAAAGCACTTGTAGTCTTTCAAAATGTACTTCCACCTTCAAAATACATCAGAAGGGGAATTTCCCAGCTTTTAAACCAGGAAACTTCACTGTAAAGACTACTGCAGCACCTCTATAAGAGGTTTTTCCTTTATTAAAAGAATAACTCAGCCAGTTATGAAGTATCCAAGTTAGAGAGTATCCAAGTATCCACCCTAAAGCACTTGTAGTCTTTCCAAATGTACTTCTACCTTCAAAATACATGATCTGAAGGGGATTTCATAGCCTTTAAACCTCAAAACATCACTCTAAAGACTACTGCAGGACCTCTGTAAGAGGGGAGTATACATGTTTATAACAATTGTAGCGATGGTTACATTTTTCATTTGTCAGAGTCTCTTTATGATGAACAATATTAGCTAGACATGCTTTTTATTGATGCAATTATGCTTTATATTTTCCTTCATAGGAGCTCTGAAAGAAGACAAGTCCAAACAGACTGAGCAATGGGGCAGCTGGCTGGAGAGCATCCAGACAACCCAAAGAGTCCTCATGATAATTCCTGATGTGGCAGCTGAAACAATGTACACTGTTATCAATGCTTTACCTCATTTGGGCCAGTATGTTTCCACATCAGCAGTTAAAATGCCTCTGTCTTTTTACCAAACGTTCAGCAAATTTAAATTTAGTAAACTATTTTAGGGAAATCAGTAAAATGTGCAGGACTGGTAAGTACTGTCTCCCAGTATTGCCTATTATTGTCATCATCTCACCACAACAGGCCCACAGTCCCTGCTTTATCTACGCTACAGTGCATCTGCGCTTGACTGACCCGAACCCGGACTGATAAGACAATCGTCCACACTCCGGCGCCATGGACAGTGCTCTGTTTACCTCCTGCAGCTGCTCTAGCTCGTGTTTCAGCGCCTCCTGCTCGGACTCCAGCTCTGCGCACTGCTGCTTCAGGCTCTGGTTCTCCTCCAGCACCACCAGCCCGCACTCCGCCGCGCGGATCTTCTCCCTGTTGGCCTCCGCGAGCTCGCGGGTCAGCCGCTCCACCTCCGCGCGGTACTGATCCACCGTCTCCCCGCATCCTCCATCTGCCGCCATCGCCTCTGCTTTCCCCGGGCTGCGATGCCTCCGCCTCGACCGCCTTGTCCACAGAAGACCGGACAGCTCTGCGGAGGCTGAGCGAGGCAGGGCTGGACGCAGTAGCACGCGCTAGAATTTTTTTCTTTTCTCACCCGTATTGCGACATACCACGCCTTCCACGGCATGATTGGCTAGTAGTTCATTCTCACAAGTAGTCCACTAGCCAATCCCACAGCGGCAGGCTGTCTAGCACTAACCAATCCTAACGCAGCTTCGGAGACTGTACAAGCCAATCCTGTGTAAGGAGGCGGGGCTTGACGCAATAAGGGTGGGAAAACAAACCCAACACCACCCACTCATCTGCATGCAGGGGATGCGCGGAGGGCAGAAATTAGGTGGGCAGTGCAGATAACACAGGCTCAAGCGCGCGCGCACACCGCCCTGCAATCCAGTATCCAGTAGGTTAGAGGCAAATGTTATTAACTTCACTTTGTTTTGTGAATGTTTGTTCTGAAACCGCTGTCTGCTCATTTGTAAAGTGTATTCATCAAATACATTTTCTGTGTTTGAAATACATATATTTGAAATTTACAGTTACAATCTACAGCTAATTATGATACAGTGATGTCCTCCTCATTCCAAATGTCCAGCTTAGTGGAAATTTTCGCCCAGTTTTTCTAGCTCTGTAGAACCACGTATTTGACCACACTCACTTTTTTGTGTTTCTGCAGAAATCAGTTTCTGGATTGGTTGATCATTTAATAGAATGTTTTCTTTTTTATCTTGTCATAAACATAAACAAATATGGCAGCTGGTAATATGGACGCTCACCCCCTCCAAGACCAAATCAAACACTGTTTTTAAATGATCCTGTGTTATTTAACCCCTTAACAAGCCATGTAACAAGCAAAGTTTTATTACACACTTCTATAATAGCTCCATTAGTTTGCATTAAAGTCCCTTTAGCTACTGAATAATAAGCCTTTGTTTGAAATAAACTTGGAGTGTTGACAGTGTAAAAAATGTTTTGTGTGTATATCCTTCTAAAAGCTCCCTCATGTGAAAGGTAAAAAAGATATAGAAATAGTAGATATTTATTTCTGCAAACACACATTTTGAAGTAAAGTTTAATGACAGGTAATCTAGATGTTTAGTAGAATAGACTTCTGCATTACAAAATGCGTTCATTTAAGATTTTTTGTTTATTTTGTTAGCACTGACAGTAGACGATGTTCTATGAATTTGGATATAAAATTCTTTTTTTGATTATAATGGATTCAGAAATGTTATTTCTGAAACACAGGAGTGTTATTTCTGTCAGTTCTGTTTGTTTAAGAATGCCACAAAAATCTCCTTTCAAAACAATTAGATGGTGTCTTCAGTCCCCAAATGATAACTAAGTGCTGTTAAAAGGACAAGTGATGTAACATAGTGGTAAACATGCTTCCATCCTGGTATTTTCATGTTGCAAGCATCCGATTTTAAATGAGTGCATGTTTACAAAAAACATCATTGTTCATAAGGTAAAACATCAAATATAGTGTTTTTGAATTGTTAATATAACCCCTTTCGGCTGGTGGGCCCAAAGTTTTGTGACACTTTTATGATGTAAGAATATCTCAATCACAAGTCCCTGCAGTTGCTGAATAACAAGGCTTAGTATGTAATAAGTCTGGGATTTTAAGGGGTTAATACAGGTTGAACAAAATATACTAATCACTGCTTTCTGTTTCACTGCATTTCACATACTGTACCAACTTGTTTTGTATGTACACGCTTTAGCCATTTCATTAGGTCCACCTACCTTGAATCTATTTTCTTTGTCCATTTTAAAAGCTCCACTTACCACACAGGTGCATTTAATAGTTTTAAGTTCACAAATTGTTTTCAATCTGTTTCTCTGCATAATTTATTTCTTCCCCTTTACTCTGTTCTTCAGTGGTCAGGACCCCCACAGGACCACCACTGACTAAATATTATTTGGGTAGTGAATCATTCTCAGCACTGCAGTGATACTGACATGGTGCTGGTATGTTAGTGTGTGTTGTGCTAGTCTGAGTGGATCAGACACAGCAGTGCTGCTGGAATTTTTAAACGTCAACCAACCAAAAATATCCAGCTAACAGCGTCCTGTGGTCAGAGAGTAACCACTGCTGATCACTAACACAAACTGTACAGCAGTAGATAAGCTATCATCTCTAACTTTACATCTACAAGGTGGAACCACAAAGTACATGTGTTTAATAGAGTGGACAGTAACACCCACTGTCATGTCACTACCATGTCAGTGTCACTGCAGTGCTGAGAATGATACATTACCCAAATAATACCTGCTCTGTGATGGCCCTGTGGGGGTCCTGACCATTGATAAATGGGGTAAAGGAAAGCTAACGGGTTACGGAGAGAAACAGATGGACTACAGTCTTTAATTGTAAAAATACAAAGTGCACCTTTATGGTAAGTAGGCCTGAAAAAAATGGATGATGATTGTAAATTCAGGTTTGGTGGACAACTGTTAGAAAATCATTTTAAGTATTATTTTCCAAATGACAAACTGACCAACTAGAGAAATATAAATATATAGTCAATCAATGAAATTTCCTAAATTCATTTTAAATTTTGGGATGCGTAGCAAGTGATGAAAATCTCTCAACGAAAGAGAAAGCAGGGGCACTGATGAATTTCCTGCCCCTTTATCATACCCTCAGTACGCAGCACGAATGAGTTGGATTTGGCTTCCATCTAGTGGAAGTTCTTGGTATAGAGGCATATATGGGTATGCAGACAAAAGCTTATGTGATTTAAGAAAATCAATAACTCTGCTTATAAATCACTTATAGCATGTTGTATTATTGTTATCTGACTCTTTTTGTTAATCAATCCATTAACTACTATGGTAATAAAGCTAAAATGTTTTGTGGTCTTGCTCAACACTGTAGTCAGATATTTGCCAAAATGTACATACAGTACTGTGTAAAAGTCAGAGATCACCCTTCATTAATTTAATTCCCAGTCAAAACAGCCATTAAATACAAGTTATTCATATTCTATGAGATATTTTAGCAGAGATTAGATATAACATAATCCGCTTGCATAAGGAGGTGAAATCTAAAAGGATATGTAGCTGCCAAGAAGCTGTTACTGAGAAAAAGAAATAGACAAAAAAATGTGAAAATCAGATAAGGAAGCTACTGGTGTTCTCAAAACAGTGGACTGACCACCCCAGACCTTAACATCACTTAATTTATTTTGGATTACTTGGATTGTGAGAAACAGAGTATGCAGCAAACGTCTACAACTGATCTTTGGAGGTGTGGAAAAATATCCCTGCAGATTTCTTTTAAAAAATGAAATCATTTTCTGTTAAATACATGTACTGTACCACCCAGCATTCATATTTACCCATGCTTTGTTAGCTTTGAGTGTTCATTTATGAGAAGCCTTTTAGGCCAATATTCAAACTTGACACTCACACATACCGTCATAGTCTAATGTGTGTATGTATAGAATTTGACAGTGTGAGTAAGACTATGATAGTGTGAGAGTGAGTCAAGTTTGTATGTTGGCCTTAAGGGCCTTCAGGGTCTCCTCGTGCACTACTGCAGATATGTGTGTGCTATAGTAGCTCTGGGATGTGCAGTGCAGCGTGTAAAGAAAGTTACAGAGCTAACAGGAAATACAGTGTAAAGAGAACTCATGACTTACTGTACCTTCAAGCATCCCCAGCCCATCCAGCGTGCCTTCATGTGACATCAATTTCCAGCTGACTCCATTTCACTTATAACGACTAATTACATACGCTCTCTGTGAGTCAAGCAAACTCAGAGTAATAACTGGATAGATATCACTTGAGTTGCACGTGTCCTGTTTGAAAACCCCTAATGCTCTTCTCTCATTAGTAAACTGGGGCTTCTGACATCATTGGTTATTAACTATATAATAAAAAAACTCTCTTTACTAGTTTCCTCAACCCAAAGAGTAAACATTGCTAATAAAGCTAACATTGCTACTATTGCCCTGGAAATCCTAGATGCTAGCCAAGCTAACATTTTGGGTGACATTCTTTCAAAGAATGTCTGATAGCAAATCGAAGTGAATGAGTAAGAGGAATTGCATTTGAGGCATGTTGTACAGTTCTAAATTTGGTGAACGAGAGGCTGATTAGATTTGTGGTTTTAGTGTTTTGAGTCTCTGAATGAGAGTCATGTGATTAGAACTCAGCCTGCGGTCTGTAGGAGTTTAGAGGATATGCTCTCTATTCACCTAAGTAATGTCCTCATGTTCTCTTCTCTTCTCTTCTCTTCTCTTCTCTTCTCTTCTCTTCTCTTCTCTTCCTTATTCTCCTCTCCTTTTCAATTCTCTGCTCTATTCATGTCTTTTACCTTCTTTTCTCTTCTCCTTTATTCTCCTCTCCTCTTAAAGAATTAATACTATTTTTTAGTCTATGCAAAGTATGCGAACTACTTTTTTAAGCATGCACATACTCTACTTTCTTAGCATGCATACTACTCTTTTATGAATGCAAACAGTATACATTCTACTTTTTAAGTACACTACTATTACTATTACTATTACTATTACTATTACTATTATTACTATTTACGTACACTACTACTAATACTATTTTTTTAAATATGCAGACAGTGTACATTCTACTTTTTTAAACCATGCATACTGAAAAAAAGCATGCATACCATATGCATACTATTTTTAAGCGTCCAGGACACCTTTTTAAGTATGCATACTACTTTGTAAGTATGCATCCTTAAAAATAAGTATGCTTATAAATTGCATACTACTTTTTAAGCAAGTATATAAACAGTATGCATACTACTTGACTTATTATGCATGCTACATTTTTAAGCATGTGTATAATGTGTATACTCCACTTTAAGCACACACAATGTCTTTTTAAGTATACATAGTACTTTTTGATAGGGATGCACTGATTGTAAGTATGCATGCTTAAAAATAAGCTTGCATATAAATTGCATACCACTGTTTTAAGCATGCATAATACCTTTTAATTATGCAAATAGTATTCATACTACTTGATTAAGTATGTAAACTACTTTTATGTATACATTTATAATGCCTACTACTTTGAAGTAAGCACTCAGTATATACATAGTACTTTTTCAGGCATGAAAAATACCTTTTTAAGTATGTGAACAGTATACATACTACTTTTTAAGCATGTATAATATCTTTTTTAGGCATACATAGTACTTTTTAATAGGGGTGTGCCAAACTTTTTCTAATTTTTCTCATGTCTTTACAGTCAAATTGGCTGATGGACTGATGAATTTTTATATTTTTAATTAATCTTCCCCCCCTGAAGCTCACACTGGCTCATACTCAGGAAACCTCGCAGAGTAGAAGTGCTGATCTAGGACCTGTTTCTGTCAGTAAAGTCATAGTACATAAGAGAGGAATCCTAGATCAGCCCAAACCACATTTCTAGTACTTTTTATGCTACTTTTTAAAAGTCTGCACACAGTATGCACATTTGTTTTTTCTGTGCACTTTGAATTTGCTTAGTACTTGCATAGGTAGACACATGAAAGTCTGAGGCTGTTTTTCTTATAATGGTGTCAGTGAGCTTGAGTTAATGTGTTCATGGGATCATGAACTCAGAAGTGTGCGAAGAAAGTACTTGAACAGTAACAGAACAGTAATATGAAACGTATCAACTGAAAAAAAAAAATACTGTCTCGGCATGTTCTACCTAAAACAAATGCCAGTTTTGACATCTGTATGTATTTTTAAAAATTTAAGTTATTATAGTAATTTTGAATGACTTAAGAATGGAATAAATATATGTTTATACATATATTTTATAGTCTAAATTCTACCAGTGTCCTGAGGTAAGAGTAGGTATATGTGGCTAAAAGGATTTTTAAATGTAAAGTTCATATTTCAAATATAGAAATTGATATCATTCATATCGGGCGGCAGGGTGGCGCAGTGGGTAGCGCTGTCGCCTCACAGCAAGAAGGGCCTGGGTTCAATTCCCGGCCGGGTGACCAGGGTCATTTCTATGTGGAGTTTGTATGTTCTCCCCGTGTCAAGTCAAATTTATTTATATAGCGCCTTTTACAACAGATGTTGTCACAAAGCAGCTTTACAAAGAATCCGGGTCCAAGCCCCCAGTGAGCAAGCCCATGTCTGTGTGTTTACTCCGGTTTCCTCCCACAGTCCAAAAACATGCAGTCAGGCCAATTGGACATGCTAAATTGCCCCTAGGTGTGAGTGTGTGTGTGAATGTGTATGTCTGTCTGTCTGTCCTGCAATGGACTGGCGACCTGTCCAGGGTGTATCCTGCCTTCTGCCCAATGACAGCTGGGATAGGCTCCAGCACTCCACCGCGACCCAGAAGGATAAGAGGTTTAGATGATGGATGGATGGATATCATTCACATTTAAACTATACAAACACAAAAGGTTTAATCTACTTTGTCGATATTATGGAAAATAATTACTCGTTTGGGATAAGCAGTTATTAACTTCTATCCAAGGAGAGCTAGAGAGAGAGAGAGTGAGAGAGAGAGAGAGAGAGAGAGAGAGAGAGAAAGAGAGAGCACCATTGTGAATGATTTTCAAGTATGTTTGAGCATTTGTACGTGTGTATATATTTATGCATGTCTGTTTGTGTGTGTGTGTGTGTGCGTGTGTGGCGTTGGGTGTGTGAGTGCATGCGTGCATGTGTGTGTGTGTTTGTGTGGGCGTGGGTGTGTAAGACAGTGCTCTACTCTGTCAGCACGAGGCTTCAGTCAGCTGCTCTCTAGCTCTGCTGAATTGAGTTCACATGATCAGCTGATAGGTCTCATTGCACTTACAATCAGCTCCAGGAGCAGCAGCAGCAGCCTTCAGCACCACCCGACTGTCCCCTGTCCTCTCTCGCCCCTCTATTTCTCTCCTCCTTCACACTCTCTGTGATTCTCTCTCCTTCGCTCCTTTCATATTTCACTTTCTATCAAGCTCTTTCTTTGGGACTTTGGACTGTTTTGTGCTTCAGACTTTTGAGGACACATTGGACTCATGGCTCCAGAAAAGGAGAGCAATGGGATGGATAACTATGCTTTTGCTGTGAGTATGGTTATTTTTTTACAGTCAGGTCAGTATGAAGACAAATTATGTTTATCAGTTTCTGATTTGTGATTCTGATATAAAAAGTGTATAGAAAAAGGAATGTGTGAAGTGTAAAGTGCAAGGTGTAAAGACCAAACATTGAGTTCATTAGTCACTGTTTATGTTTTGAACACATTGTTTATGTTTTCATTACATAAACCATATGCATTTGCACATATACATGTGTTCCTGACAGTGACTGAAGGGGCAACTTTCTTGCTCCATCATGAAGCATTTTCACTGTTTGTTTACAAACAGTGACGATGTAAACAAAGGTGTTGCATCTCTCAAGCGTGCTTTTCTAGAGCTATGTTCATGAATCTGAGGGTGAAAACACCATATTCTATGTATAATTCAATGTATAATGCATATTAAGTGTCATTGTCACCACTTTGTTGTTCAGAACTGTGTAATCTGGTATTTTCTATTATTTCCTTTGTCCAGACAAACCCTTCTTGGTGATAAGCAGTAGTAAACATTGCTGTAATCTAAATTGTTAACCTCATGAATCATTTCTATTCACTCTGTTAATCATTTCTATGCTGTTCTAGTTGCTGTTGTCGTTGTCATGCCAAAGTAGAATGCACAGGCAATGTGTAACTGGTGGAATCTGATGTGGTTGGGAACAAACAAACACTGGCCACTTAGAGATTCACATTTCAAGTCTGAGCAAAACAAATCAAAACACTTGCTATTCAAGTTAGTAAAAAAAAAAAGTCATGTTTCTGTTTGACTTGGGGTGTGGAGAGCTGATTCAGGTTTTTTTTCAGGACCCTTAGCCTGAATAAACTTTGGCAAGGCCAGTTGTCAGCTGAACAATTCAATACTGTATTACAATTAACAGCTAACGTGGTCACTAAGTTGCTAGGTTAACATGTGCTGAGACCTCATACTGTGTGTTTCTTTTGGATCTAAACTGGAACAGTCTGTAGGAACTTATGGCCTATAGACATACTGTCTATAAACATCTAATACTATAGTATCTACTTCCTCATCATAAATCTCACTCATTCTTATGTGCTCTTTGCTCTCCAGGTTGACGGTGTGGTAAATCGTTTCTGTGGGTTGCCTGATGAGCAGGATGCAGATACGTCAGAAGAAGACGGCAGGAACAAATTAGCTTATTGTGTTACTGATGTACCACCGTGGTACTTATGCATCATCCTGGGGATTCAGGTAATCCTGGGGATTCCTTTCCTCAAATACCAGCAGCCAATTTCCTGTAAGCGCAAGCATTTCCTGTATTATTTCCTTATCCTAAGATGAAATACAGCCCTTTGAGTGATTGATTGGATAAAGTAGAAGGTCATAGACTTTAAGACAATTTAGTCTTCACTGTTATAAAAAAGATTATTTTAGTGTGAATATAATTAAAAGCAAGTATTAAGACTGGCCATTTTAAACATCTAGGCCCATCCTAGAACCACTTTTAGTTCTTTAAAGAACCGTCCACCATCAGGTGGGAACCAAAAGTGGTTCTTCTGTGGTCTCACACTGAAGTACTCTTTAAGACACCACTATTTTTTGCAGTAGGTAATGAAGCACAATCACGTTCTCTCTCCTGTTTTGCAGCACTGCCTGACTGCATTTGGTGGAATCATTGCCATCCCGCTCATCCTGTCTCAGGGTCTGTGTTTGCAGCATGATGGACTCACTCAGAGTCACCTGATCAGCACAATCTTCTTTGTTTCAGGGATGTGCACCTTACTGCAGGTCACTCTGGGCGTCAGGTACCTCTTTAAGGCCTTGTCACTCATTCCATTACGAAAGAATCCAGGTCACCACAAAAAACAGCTATTCTATAAATGAGTTATGGAGAGGTAGCACAGGTGGTGGGCTTTTTGAGTATTTGAGATGAAGATTAGATAATATTTTTTGTTTGCAAGTCCAGTTGTGAGTCAGTACGATAAGAAAGTACTATGAAATTATGACACTGGACTTATATAATGGAATATATAACATGTATGAATGGTTGCTTGAGTAAATAATGTAATAATGTATAATGATGTGTCATTTACCTGTGATATAAATCACTTTATTAAGATCTGATAAGATACAGTGGACCATCAAATGTTTCATCACTTCAAAAAAATAATTTTACTGACTGAAATGACATCATACACAAGCTTTAATTTCAAAAAAGTTGGGACAGTATGTGAAATGCAAATATAAACAGAGTCAAACCCAGTTTGACTTATATTAAAACAAAAAATGTACCAAGACAAGATATTTAAAGTTTTATCTTATCAGTTTCATTGTTTTTTGTAAATATGCACTCATTCAGAATTTGATGCCTGCAACACCTTCCAAAAAAGTTGCGACAGTGGCGGTGTGAAATGTTCAGAAAACTATATAATGCATTATCATTATGTTTAAATGCCAATAAAACCAGAAAGAAGTGATTAGTAAATTCAGTTTCATCTGTATTTTATTATTATTATTATTATTATTATTATTATTCACATCAATGTACTACTACTAATATTATCGGTAATAAAATACGTCTAAAGAAAAATAATAAATAGGCTATGTTTGCTTTCATATATGCATTATGTGTTTAGGTCTACATATCGTGTTATACTACATGAAGTGCATGGAGTAACAAAAAGCACAAAATCAACTAAAGTTTTGTGTCCTGTGACTTAAAATGCTTCTCTTTTGATTTACTTTTCTTAACTCTTTATCTTAATATTACTTTATCTTAATTCTTTAATCCACTTCTAATAAAAGACCTATTGTATAATTGATCACATTACAAATCCACTCACGAGTGCATGCTGCTACTTTGTATGAGAGAACAAATAATTTCACCATAAAATAATCCAGACTTTTAGCCTAACTGTTCATTGATCCAGAAATATTTATGTGATGTAGGCTTGGCTATGCTTTTATCTTATAATAAGCTAAGGCTTCACTAAGCTGAAACAAACTCCATTGTGCTCCACTATTAGAACTGTTAGTTGATCTTGATAATAGAAACTGTTCACATGCACTCTTTTGAATTGTATATAAATATAAGATTCAGTGATCTCACTGGTCAGACTATGTGCCCTGTCCAGTCCATTCTGTAGATAGTATTAGAATGGTCATGGCCTGTTTTGTAGGATCAGCATTTTGCACTACTGTAAAGCTAGCACATGTGCATCTTTACAGACATTGAGGACTGTAATAGGATTAGAGAGGAATTTTAAATCTTATTAAGTCTGGATTTCAGCACACTTCAAATCCACATTCCACAGTCTTGACCATATTGGAGCTTTCTCCACCTCTCCACAGCAGGCCAGAGGTCAGAAAGCAGTAAGACCATAAAATGCTTAACATATAAAGATGTTGTTATGGATAGACTTTTATTGTTTCTCATAATGTACCTTGTTCAGTGGCAGCTATAAATATAAATAATGCCATAGCAATATTACTATTATAGTGTTGCATAATTTTGGAGCCATAAAGGCTTTATCTTGTATTAACCTTTGGAAATCCTAATTAAAAAGTATTATAGTTTTAAATGCCTCACAGAATCTAATCCACTCAAGATTCTTTTAAGACCAACAAAGGCCCCAGTGAGCAGCACAACAGATGCATCTTATTTGTACTTGCATGTGTTAAATACGAATCTGCTGGCTGGTGATAAGAGACCAAATGCACATGATGTTCCATACATTTGTTATAAAAATGTTATTTTGAATACTGATAATACCAAATGTTTCAATAATTGTCACTTATAAGAATTTAAATACAGTCTTTCATGAGCAGGATCATATGTCATGCATTATTTACTGAAAGCAGGCATCAGCTTAATTTGACTGTTTTTGATCTCTCCTCTATCAATGGTAGGTTGCCTATTCTTCAAGGTGGAACATTTACTCTTCTTGCACCTTCAATGGCCTTACTGTCCATGCCAGAGTGGGCCTGTCCTGCATGGACCCAGAATGCCACTCTGGTCAATACATCATCCCCTGAGTTCATCCATGTCTGGCAGAGTCGCATGCAAGTGGTAGGTGCTACACTGGTTGACCTGACAGATAGATTAAAACTGGAGATAGTAGTCCTATATGAAAATGGTATATATTGGCATACATTGAATTTTGAATTTATTTAATATATTACATAATATAAATCAAATATATTGTAATGCATTTTCAATACATTCTATTTCAATATGGGGTTGTGAAATGGGACACCAAACAACTGAGAAGTATGCTTGTGTTTGTTCTACTCTAACAGCTCCAGGGTTCCATCATGGTGGGCTCCCTGTTCCAAGTGCTGGTGGGATTCTCTGGTCTCATTGGCCTCTTCATGCGGTTCATCGGTCCTCTGACCATCGCACCAACCATCTCCCTTATTGGCCTGTCCCTGTTTGACTCTGCTGGAGCAAATGCAGGGAACCACTGGGGCATCTCAGCCATGTAGGTGGCAACCAATACAACAGTTTCAGCTCCACTGAGGGTGGCATATGTATAATTTTGGATGTGCTTGTTTAAGCCTACACAAATCATTTTATTGAGTGGACTGTCACTGAATTTGTCATGCAACAGCAGTAAGCAGTTAAATAAGACCTACTGTTGTCTTTTCTTTTTCCACAGGACCACATGCTTGATCGTTCTCTTCTCACAGTATCTCCGCCACATTGCTATTCCTATGCCTACATACAGCAAGGCCAAGAAATTTCATACCTCTAGGATGTATATCTTCCAGATTCTTCCTGTAAGTCCATAAATAAGTAGCACAGCAGGGTTTTTATGACATAAGGGTTGTTCATAAGGTAGCTTGTCTTTGGACTGACTCCTCAGGTGCTCCTGGGAATCACTGTTTCTTGGCTCATCTGCTACCTTTTCACCATCTATAACGTCCTGCCCTCTGAACCAGACCAATATGGCTATCTAGCTCGAACGGACATCAAAGGGGATGTGATAGGAAGTGCACCCTGGTTTAGGTTTCCATATCCAGGTACTGAACCATTATAGAAAAAAAAATCCTAATGGGTAATTCCACTGATTTTCTGCATTGTTAAATTTTTAAGATGTAAACAAAGTTATTCTCAGTGGTTTGGAGTGAAATGTGTTACGCTAGATGAATTTGCAGAGTCAAAATTGTACACAGTGGTGGTGAAAAGAACCAGACGTCTGAAAGGTTTATACCTTACAGAAAGTTATTTCTAGAACAGTTTTGAGATAAAACTTTGGCATGAAACATATTTATATCTATTTATAACAGAGAGGTACATGCAGGGTGCTTTAAGGCAAAACAGTCCATAAAGAAAACTTACTTTTTCAGTTTACCACTATTTTTCCATCCTCAACATGACATGACATGCTAAAACTCAGAAAACACATTCACTGGTCATTTTATTTACATTGCAAGAATTGCAATACCTGGTTCCTATTAGCACTACTGCAAAGAAAATCTGAGTCAGTAAGTTTCTCTGTACTATTCTGGATGACTTTGTTTGCATCTCAACCACTGAATTATAGTGGTTGATGAATTGAATGTTTACAATTATGAGTCTTTTTTTTAATCTTTATCCACATTCAGGGCAGTGGGGCTTACCAACTGTGAGCTTGGCAGGTGTGTTAGGAATCCTAGCGGGGATCATATCCTCAATGATTGAGTCAGTGGGTGACTACCATGCCTGTGCCAGGTTATCTGGTGCCCCACCTCCACCCAAACATGCCATCAGCAGGGGTATTGGGATTGAAGGCCTGGGCTGTCTGCTAGCAGGGGCTTGGGGTACAGGCAATGGGACCACCTCTTACAGCGAGAACGTAGGGGCACTAGGCATAACTAAGGTGAGAGGTCCTGAAAATGTTTATTCTGCTACAGCACCTAATCACATTTTATTTTCAGTAAAAAATAATTACTAATATTAAAGAATGCAGGATGCAGAAATAGAAACAAAGATGATTGCTGAGCAAAGCCTTTGTCTTTGCAGGTTGGCAGTCGCATGGTGATTGTTGCTGGTGGTTTCATCATGATCATTATTGGAGTGTTTGGGAAAATTGGAGCCATATTTACTACTATTCCAACACCTGTCATCGGAGGGATGTTTTTAGTCATGTTTGGGGTCATATCTGCAGCTGGAATTTCAAATCTACAGGTGAGTAGACTGAAGCTTTTTAGAGGAGTGTGTGTTTTTCACCTACGACTTAACACTATTTTTACATTCATTTTATACTGTATCGTTTTACAGTATGCAGATATGAACTCGTCTCGTAACATCTTCATCTTTGGATTCTCAATGTTAACTGGGCTTGCCATCCCAAACTGGATAATGAAAAACCCGTCTGCCATAGCAACAGGTAACACGGTCATTGATGTATTTAACAAAAAAATCATTGCATAATTATGCAAAAGTTTGAACACCCCAGTCAAATGACATGTTTTCCAAGTGAAAATAAGTACTCCTCTATAGGGAACAAACATAAATATGGTTATGGTTCCTTTGCTTGTTGGCTTAAGGGAATATCTTTGGTGCTCACCAAAGATTTACCAGAGGAACCAACAAGGAATGCTGTACTAGACAATGAGAGGTTCTTAAAACCCTAACACAGAACTGCCCATAGCTTGAGAACACAAGCATTGTAGAAGGACATAATATTAGAAGCTTAAACCTACAATGTTCTATTTATGAATGAAAGCTGAAAACCCACTGAGAATTCCTTTTGAGAGTATAAATGCTGATATTTCTCTCCATGTCTCAGGTATTGTTGAGTTGGATCAAGTGCTTCAGGTTCTTCTGACAACCAGCATGTTTGTGGGAGGGTTCTTTGGATTTATTCTTGACAACACCATCCCTGGTGAGCTTTATTAGTTTAACTGAGAGTCCTTTATAAGTGCTAAACTTAGCTTGTAGAAGAATGTGTCTGTGAAATGAACTCTATGTCTAGCACTTAGCATCTGTGTTCTAAACTTAGCTCATTGAACAGTGTATGTGTCAGGACCAAATATACTTACTGAACAAAGCAGATTGTATAGAATGTGCCAGACTTCCAAGATTCATGCAACTTGACCATCTGTATTTCTCCCACAGGGACAAAACGTGAGCGAGGTATAGTTGCATGGAACAAGGCCCATGAAGATGATTCTGAGAACACCCTCGAGAGCGATGAGGTCTATGGGCTTCCCTGTGGAATCAGCTCCCGTCTCTCCTCCTGTTCCTGGGTTAGATATGTGCCTTTCTGCCCTTCATATAAAGCCAGACCAGAAAATATCAGCCCCAGCAGTTCAATCTCACTGGACAAGAAGGAGCCTAGCAAAAACGACACACATATCATAGTGGCAGTGGCACTATAATCACGTACGAGGACATCTTCTGCTGTGGTCAATGCAGTTTGGGCAGGTACTCTCCACCCAATATCTGATGCAAACTACCTGTCTGGAAGCAAAAGCTATGAAGGCTGGGGTCACAGTAAAAAAAAAACAATGACAAATTCTCTGACCTCACTAAAGACCTGAGGCAGCTCTCTTGGGCTCACATATATATTTCTTTTATACTGAACCTATTTTCTTGATCTTAATTTTTGTAATGAAAACTGGATACAGATGATGACTTTAATATGAAAGTGCATATATTCTTGAAACTACACATGTTTAAGTTCCCATTTGTTTTGCAAGGAGTTGTTTTGTTTTTCACTCATGGTGCTTCAATAAAGGAAATACTGTTGTTAAAATAACCATATATTTTATAAAAAAGATACAAGATCAAAAAAAAATCATTCAGTGTTTTACACATCTTTAAGTTATGCACACATAGCACATTCGTTATACATTTCTGGTTTGTTAAGTCTTGCAATTGCAAGTGATTTTACTGAAAGCAGTAATACTTTCAATGTCTCATATGTACTACATATATGTAAATACCTGTATGTAATAAGAATTTTCTAAGCCTTATCATAACCCTAACCTTAACCTTTGGTGACAAAAAAAGAAATGGTTTTGCTCCTTTGTTAAAAAAAAACATGGAGCTTTTGTAGAAAGCATATTACAATGTCAGAACATTTTGATTGGTTTCACATTGTAAGTTGGCCTTGTTTTTCCTGTTTTTCCCCTACTTGAAAAAGTACAAAAACAAACCCATACACATATAGAGAAAAACTTGAATTCCTAACATTTCAAAGATGCTTCAGTCCATCTTTTCGTTTTTGCTGCAACTGGCCTAAACTTGCTAGGCATTTCCAAAAAGTTTAAGTTGTCTCTCTACCAGTTGCTCTATTGGCTGGTGAGGTCTTGCTTTATGGCATTGTAGAGGCTGATGAAGGACTCTGCCCAGGCATCTCTTTGGTGAGCAGTGCTGGCCTGAGCCATTTGTTGAGCCGTGTAAACCAACGTCAGCACCAAGCGTTCAAAGTCTTTTCTCCTAAGGGCACCCACACCCTGGACCAGAGCAAAGGTCAATCTGCGCACCTCTGGCAGCGTCTTGGGCAGTATGTCGTCACAAATGACTTCTAACTTGTGTGTTTGACGAAGGGATGCCAGCTCTTCATCATGCACTGAGAACAGACCAAGCTCATCTTCAAACTCCAGCCCAGCCAGTAGAATCTAAGGTACACAGAACCTTAAAATAAAAGTCTGTCTACTGCTATTTAATTTACTGAAAAAAGTGATAATAATAATACAAATAATAATGCAATAATTAATTTTTGCCAAAAATTTTACCTGAAAGATGAAATTGTGTAGATGTAACATACACTAATATATACCAAAAGTATGTGGAGACCTTTCCTTATTATTGAGCTCAGGTGTTTCAGCCACACCCATTGCCAACAGATGGATAAAATCAAGCACATAGCAATGCGATCTCACTAGACAAACACTGGCAGTAGAATGGGTCAAACTGAAGAGCTCAGTGACTTTAAACATGGCACTGTTGTAGGATGCCACCTTTGCCAGTTCATGAAATTTCTGCCCTGATAGATCTGCCCATTAACTGTAAGTGCTATTATTGTGAGCTGAAGCGCATAGCATGTAAAAATCATCTATCCTGTTGCATCACTCATTAAAGAGCCCCAAATTGCCTCTGCAAACAACATCAGCACAACAACTAGGAGTTAGGAGCTTCATGAAATGAGTTTTCATGGCTAAGCATCTGAATACAAGCCTAAGATCACTAGGCACAATGCCATTCCTCGGCTGGAGTGGTGTTATGCATTCCACAACTGGACTCCGGAGCAGTGGAAACGTATCTGTGGCGTGAAGAATCATGCTTTACTATTGGCAGTCTGAAGGATGAATCTGGGTTTGGCGGATGTCAGGAGAGCACTACCTACCAGAATGCATAGTGCATCTCTGTACTGATGCTTATGGTTTTGGAATGGGATGCCAATAAGCTCATATAGGAGTTATGAGAAGGTGTCCACATACTTTTTGCCATACAGTATATGTGGAAATGATGTATACATTGGAATCAAGTAAATTAAATGTACTCCTTTTTCAGAGTAGTGTATGCTGTACACATTACTTACGTTGTCCGAAAAAAAAAGTAAAACGATTTAGATACACCAAGTAAAGTTTAAAAGCTGCAACTTAAACAGCATGTTTGTGGCATTTGCTACAAAAACATGACCACAGTGGTCACATTTTACAATCATATTCATATTTAACCATATAGATTTTCTCACCTCAAATAGCAAATTGACATCCTTAATAGAGTTCTGAAATATGGGGTTTACCAATGATGCAGTCCCCCTCTTCACCCTGAATGCCGATGGGAAAAAACCTGTGGATGGAACAAAAACAATAAAGCAGCACAAAGTGTCTCATTAAAGAACACAACGAAAAATGATATACTGAATATACTTGATTCAAAAGTGCGCACTATTTCAACATCAATAAAAAGGCCTGTTTTAAAATAACCTTTTTCATACATAATAGTTGGAGTGGGTTTTACACATACAAGAAATATTTACCCAACTATTTCTTGTATTTTTGCTTGTTTATTTTACTAGGTTCTCTTGTGATGTTTGTGACTTTATGTACCAAAACCAGCCATGATTCAATATTTCATGACTATTTTCAGCTTCTCTTTATTTCTTAGAATAAACAAGCTGTTTTGTTAGTGTATCTTTAAGAAAGATTTTTGCAAATGTCCTGTGTTCTGATTGGCTGCCCTGTATTGTGTTTTATTCAAAAAGCAGTCCAGCTGAAACACTCCTTATAACTTCAGTGTTCAATGTTCAACATTAAACTTCTGTAGGCTTAATATGCAGATGTACACTGATCAGGCATAACATTATGACCACCTCCTTGTTTCTACGCTCATTGACCATTTCATCAGCTCCACTTACTATATAGGTGCACTTTGTAGTTCTACAAGTACAGACTGTAGTCCATCTGTTTCTCTGCATACTCTGTTAGCCCCCTTTTACCCCGTTCTTCAGTGATCAGGACCCCCATGGCCCCTAACAGAGAAGGTACTATTTGGGTGTTGGATCATTCTCAGCACTGCAGTAACACTGACATGATGATAGTGGTGTGTTAGTGTGTGTTGTGCTGGTCTGAGTGGATCAGACACAGCAGTGGTGCTGGAGTTGCTATGTTCCATATGCGGACTGTAGGACTTGGGAGTGAATGGTACTGAACATTTTTGAAACTTTTACAATATTTACGAACTACATCAAACTCTGATTCCAAAAAAAAGAGAGAGAGAGAGAGAGAGAGAGGGGAAGGTTTGGTTTCCCATGATGTGGACCATTTATTGCAATAAGTTACAAGCAAGACTTCATCTTCTGAAATATCTGGCTGAGCCATATCATGAGCCATACCCTTAATACATCACATATTGAGATGAAAACTCAGGCTCACTGTAAATGTCGAACACATTATCCTCTCTGACAGTTAGCTATGGTGTGCCAAAGGATTTTATAGGTACTTGCTGAGAGGGCTGAGCAAACAGGGCAAAAGCAAGATAAAGCAGGCAACACGCTTGTGTCTGGAACTGATTGTATGTATTACCCTACAAGCTGCTGTGATCAGCTGACTGACAGACCAGTCCTGACCTCTGGCTTCAAAGGCAGGAATATCAAAGCGGTGGAGCACATGTGCTTCACGCTGCAGGTGATCTCTCAGCTCTGTAAAAGGGCCCACAGCTTTAACCACATATTTTGGTTCACACTGGTGTAAGTGTATGAAACTTTGTGGATGGGTTGGTCAAGTGTTATTAAACTCACAGAAAAGTTAATAATGCATCTGAAATCTGAGAGGCATGCAGCATTTTTTAATCTAATATATCACACTAGCTTCCAAGCTGCTTTCTGCTCAAACATCTTAAAATTGTTACATTTTCCAAGTAATTTTTTCCAATAATGTATTCCATACTGGCTGACTGGTAGGCTGCAGATCTTTATTTAATTTAATTTTAATTCTTTAGGAACAATAACAATAAAAAACAAAAACAAATTCACTACTTTTATTTTTTATTATTTGAACTGAAAATGTAGTGTTATTATAATGAATTCTAATAGATTCTAACATTTCAAAAGAGTGCTGCTTAATCACTACTTTCAATATATCTTTACACCCCTGCAAGTGACTGCTAGAAGTCTAGGAGCAGGGAGGGATTACTGACTGGGCATTGTGGACAGGGCCAGGGGCCTCTGACTGCCAGGAGTCTCTGACCCCCAGGAGCGTCTGACTGCCAGGGACCCTGAATGCCAGGAGCCTCTAACTGCCATGGTTCTCTAACTGCTATGGGCCTTTGACTGCCAGGAGCCTCTGACTCCCAGGAGCCTCTAACTTCCATGGGCCTCTAACTGCCAGGGGCCTCTGAGTGCCAGGGTCACCACAGGGCCTTAGATCACCCTGCTGAAGGTGGCCCAAATATCTGGGGCAATCCCTTACAGATGTAAACATTATATTAACAAATAGCCTTGGACGATATATATAAAAAAAAATCCCTTAAGTTATATATTAATGTCAGTATCACGATAATGTCATGGTAGTGCTAGAGTTTACCCTTACGTGACTTGTTTGACTTGGCACATATCGTTATGATGTAGACACAAGAAGATATTGCACATTAATGAAGCTAATTTGGTTTGTTTTCAAGACAAAAAATTAAATTCCAACATTGCTCAAATACTATATATAAGATATTGTTCCTGCAGTGATTTGTTTATGTTTTAGCAGCATTGCAAAGGGAACATTTCTACCATCTTAATATTCTTTGTGTTATGATCCACAAGTATGCAATTTTCCATGTAACTACTGAAGTGTTGCATCTGCAGTCACCAACTCCTCTCCACGTAGAGATGTCTATCTCCAGAGTTTTCAGCCAAGACTCACCTGATCTTTGTCCTGTAATTTTTCTACAGAAATATTGTAAAGTGAATATAAGCTCTGAGCACACACTCACACATTGTGATGTCTTGTTTGCTTATTTTCTGTGCAAATTGGAGCATTCTCATGACCCTGCATTTTCTGAACTGGATTTTGATGCGTGGATTGCATTTTTGGACTGTTTTGCCTGATTGTGT